ACATTTACAGATTAACTTACTTAATCCTCACAGCACCTTTATGACATATATAACATTATTATCCTTATTTTGTAAAGAGGACACTCATTTTATAAAGAGCAGCATAAGTTAACTTTCCCAAAGTCACACAAATAGTGGATAGTAAAGCTAGAACTTCCACATATCAAGTTCCTACCTACCTACTGTAGTCTTGTAACAGTATTAGGTATTATAATAATCCAATTGGTTATATGCTTCTCCATTCCTCAGTCAAATCTATCTAGTAGGTTCTTTTAAAACAAAGCTCAAGCCTTCTGTGACATACATCCCCTAAATCTAGCAAGTCTACAAATTAATACCAATTAGTAGAAGCTTAATAAATAGCTACTAAGTAAATAAAACCAAATCATTAATTCTTATACAACTGGTTGAGGTAGTTATCAAACTCATATTTACAAAACAGAAAAAAATGTTTATTTTAGAATGCTACTAACAGTTTTTGTCTCCAAATTCACTCACATAATCATTCATGCAAAGACAGTATAAATGGTTTAGCTTCTCCAAGAAGAAAAAGGCAAAAATAACTTCTAAGTATCTGCCAACTATCCACTAGATAGTTTCAAGTATTTTGTGCCATCTGTAAAGCAGAGACATTTTTTCTGAGATCAAGACTATAAATCCAAGAAAAGAAAAAAAACTAACCAGCAGGAAATGAGAATTAAGTAAAAGCCTAAAGCAAAAAACCTTTCAAAGAAGGTCAGCAGTAATGCTAAAGAAGACACTTCTCACGGCCTGTGCCACGTGGGAGGCATGCCATACAAAGATCTACATTAGACGTAAAATACCTATAGCAAGAGTGTATTGATTTCAGCTAAATGAACTGAACAAAATACATTTCCATTCTATCTTCAACCCAATGAGCTATAAAATGTTTATATATTGGCTCCACATAAATGAAAATTTTTTAATGCAGATTGGATCAAAATTTAGCTAAAAGATTAATATCCAAAATATACAAAGAGCTCTCTGCTAGTCCAAGACTCATCACCTTGATCTGGTCCAGAAGTTAACAAAAATCAAGAAGGCTTTATAGTTTAGTTAAAGCTTATTCTTTAGCTAGTTTGGCCATCTCCTTAGTAGTATGGTATTTTTCATTATTGTAAAGAAATGGATTTATAATGATATTTTCATGCATATATGTTTATGTAAGTACTTTCATCATATTCATCCCTAATTACACTTTCTCTCCTTGTGCACTCCTGCTGCTCCCCTACTCCTCCCAAATAGTACTCATTCTACTTTCATGTCTTAAAAATCTACCTTATATATATATGAGAGAAAACTTAACAGTATTTGTTTGTGTCTCTCTTTTAACACGTTGCCAGTCACCGGTCAGTTGTCAGCTTCAGAGCTGCATTTACTTTAGAGAAGCTTCCTTTCTTTGCATAATCACAGTTGCTGCTGGTCTGATCTGTGCATGGAGAAAGTCCCACTTGTTCTAGAGACACCCCCACCGCACGTGTGCACCCAGAGGAAACAAATGTCCAAGTCTAGAGGTTCCCAACAGTACGTTAGAGACTGGGGAAAACAAACAGTACACTGAGCTCTGTGCTACAGGAGAATGGAAGGAAACTAGCACTCTGCCAGCCTCAATGTTTTCCAGTTAAACCACCAATTAAACCACCTGTGGGAGGGAGGAGGCTGGGGAAACTGCATAACCTGCTCAGAGTTCTCTCTCAGCTGTCCCTCTCATCTGCAAGAGGTATACTATGGGTCTGAAGAGGCAATTCTGGAGGCCAACCAATCCACGGGCAATGGGCTTTGGCTTAACACTCTTAAGTCTCTGTGGTGATTCAGGGGAAATAGGGCTTCCCACCTCTTGCAACAGAGGAAGAGCACTGACTACTGTGCCCTCTACAACTTTCTCACAGTGGGTTTGTGTCTGAAGCATGCCTTCTCCATAACTACCTCTCATGATACATGAGAGGGTGGCCCAAGATTCCCCAACTTGTAATTGCTTCTTATTGTACTCCCTTACCCGAGATAGTATCTGGTAAACAGAAAACTAAGAACAATAGCTCTCGTGAGATACTGGACTGACAAAATGGCTATCGAGTATTGAACTGTCCCACCAAATTCCATAGACTAGTCTGAAAGCTTGTGAGAAGTGGCAGGTATTCTGCAGCTAGGACTGCCAATCTGTTGTCACCAGGGTTACCTGGCATGCCTTGTGATGTGGCTTCAGCTTCTCCTGTCCTCCCCAGGATCCAGGGTTGGTGCTCTTGTCTGTTTCCTACTTGTTTCTACATTGTCTCCTGTTTCTCAGTGCTTTTCAGCTGTCCTGTTCTGTCATTATTGATTAGTGATGCTCTTCCTGTCTTCCCTTTATAGTCCATCCTTTACTGCCCTGACTCATCTTATTCATGAAAGTCACATGGAAGAAGGTTCTAATCTGTCATTTTGTCCCAGAACCTAAAACCAACTGCGAAAAATTTTTGTGTGTGTACCAGTACTGAAGCTTGAATTCAGGGCTTCATGCTCTCATTTGACTTTTTTGCTATGGCTAGCACTCCACCCTGAAACACATGTCCGGTTCTGGCTTTTTACTGGTTAAATAGAGATAAGAATCTTGTGGGCTTTATGTTCCCAGTATACCTTTGAACCATGATCCTCAGATCTCAGCCTCAGGATTATAGGTATCAGTGGTTGGAAAATTTAAATTACTTTTGAACTCCTCTCTCTATGTGAAGCCTAACTGGCCATCAAGTTGCATAGATTCTATTTCTTAAAGTATTATAAATAAATCATTCTGTTGCCATCATCTCTCAATGCAATTACTCTAATAACCTCTTATCTCTACTCTGCCTTGCTTCTCTTCACACTGCCAGAGATCTTTGTAAAATACAAATCAGATCGTAAGACTTTTGCCTTAAGATTTTCAACACCTATATTACAGCCATGTGCCACTTCACTTTTACCAAAATTTAGCCACTAACTGTTTCAAAAATTCCTCAAACATAACCAATGTCTTCAACTACAGTGCTTTGACTATTTGGCAAATTCCAATTCATCAAGCTTGAGTATTACCTGATTTAAAAAGCCTCCTTAACTTTCATCTAGATGATCCTTGCCTCACTTTGAGTACTATATATATATTTTTTTATAATTTTTTCTCCCTCCTTGCTTGGTGCTCATTTTATCACCATCAACACCAACATTACTATCATCAAGGTGGGGATAATAACTTTTTTTATGATACTAGTACTAGGGCTTGAAATCACTCAAGACCTGGGCATTATCTCTTCACATTTTCACTCAAGGCTAGTGCTCTACTACTTGAGCCACAGACCTATTTCTAGCTTTTTAGTGGTTAATTGGAAATAAGAGTCCCTCAGATTTGTCTGTCCAGACTGGCCTTGAACCTCAGATCTCAGTCTCTTGAGTAAGCTAGGGCTGCAGATAGGCATGAGCCACTGGAAACTAGGTATTATAATCTTCATATTATAATTACAGATACTGAGACTTAAAGTTACATAACCAATGAGTGGTACATCCAAACTTAAGTCAATTTTATTCTTATCCATGCTATGAACAGCATTATCTTGCCACATATTCATAATACCACATATTCAAATTTTACATTCTTAGCATATAGTACAGTGCTTGCCAGATAAGAAGTTCTTAGTAAATGGGCTTTGCTACTGAAAAGTGAAAATAAAACAGACTCTATAGAAATACTGTTACTTCCTTTCACTCTCATTTGGATAATATTGGTTTCAAATGGAGCACTCATACTCCCTTACCCCAAAACATATTTATCCACCTAGGAAATACTGTCCATATCAAATGTTGGCAAGGATGTAGAGCAATAAGAATTCTCCCTTGTTCACACTGCAGTTAGCCATCAAAAAGCAGAGAAGTATGGCTCAAGTGGAAGAGCGCTAGCCATGAGCAGAAAAGCTAAGCAAGAATATAAAGGCCTGGAGTCAAGGCCCAGTCCTGCTCTTTCCTCCCTCAAAAGAAGTTTCATTCACATTTGGTGGGAATACAAAAATGGGTCACTTTGCACAATTTAGCTGTGCATCTAAAATTGGTCGAAAGCTAGACACAGTAGCTCATGCTTTTAAAAACAAAGGTGCTCAGGAAGTGAAGACCAAGAGGGTCATGATTCTAGGCAAGCCCAGGCAGAAGCTGGTGAAACTATCTCCATCAATAAAAAGCTGGGCATGGTGGTGCCTGCCTGTAATACAAACTATGTAAGAAGGGTAAATAGAAGGACTGGAGTATAGGCCAGCCAAAGCATAAATGCAAAACCTTATTGGAAAAATAACTAAAACAAAAAAGACTGAGTGTGTGGCTCAAGTGGTATAAAACTTTCCTACCAAACACAAGGCCCTGAGTTCAAATTCAATGCTGCATAAGTAAATAAATTTATTTTATTAGTCAACTAATTTTATTGGAACAACTAGTTGTTCACTACTTTCAATAAACTACCCAGATCAAAAAAAAAAAAAAAAAAAGTGTCTCACAGACTTTCCTGCCTGGGCTGGCTTTGAACCATGATCCTCAGATCTCAGCCTCCTGAGTAGCTAGGATTACAAGCCACAGGTGCTGTGCCTGTTAGACACTTATCTCCAATTAACCACCAGAAAACTGGAAGTAGCACTGTGGCTCAAGTGGTAGAGCTCTCACTTTGAGCTGAAGATTCAGCTCAGAGACAGCACCCAGGCCCAGAGTTCAAGCTCCATGACTGACAAAATAAGAATAAAAATAAAAAAATAACTTTCCAATATATGTCAGAAGATAAATCATATCCTAATTCCTTTTAAGTCCTCCTCTTTTCCCTTCCTTCCTTCTTCTTTCCCACCCCTCTTCCTTTTTTACTTTTTGAGACAAAATCAGCGCTATACATACACTCTATCACTAAGCCACACACCCAGTCAACACCTGATAACTTCTAAGACTTAGCCTCTAAACACAACTAGTAAATTAAGCCTCAGAATAAGAATCAAAGAACTTACTTTTCAATTTTTTTCTTTTGTTCTCTTTCTCTTTTTTGTTCCTTCACTTGCTCTCTCTCAATATCCATGAACAGTCTTCTGTATCTCAGATACTGCTTTTGGCGCTAAAAGCAAGAAGTAAAAATTAGTAAGATTCTGTTCTCAGAGAACTTCACAAGAAAAGAAGGTAATCTTACCATATAGACAAGAAAACTATATGATATAGAAGTAACATGGAGTTGAAACCCTTTTGTACAACTACTTAAAATTTTTAAAAAATTTGGGCTGGGAAGGTGGCTTGTCTTGCATGCCTGAGACCCTGTGTTCGATTCCTCAGCACCCCATAAGCAAAAAGAAAAAAACTGAAGTAGCGCTGTGGCTCAAGTGGTAGAGAGCTAGCCTTGAACTGAAGAGCTGAGGGACAGCGGCCAGGCCCAGAGTTCAGGCCCCACGACTGGACCTCCCCCCCCCAAAAAAAATTAAAAAATTTATGTGCATCTCATCATACAAAATAATATTTATCAAAATGAACTCCACATAATGGAAACAAGAGATTTTTTTCTTTGTTGCTGTTTTTGTTTCTTTTTTGTCTTGTTTGATTATTTATATAGTCTTTGGGAATATAAGAGTCACAGAAATGGAGGGAGAAAGGGTAAACAAATATAGCTGTGGTATCACTAGAAACTATGTTGAAAATGAACTATACAACTTATGGTAGGGACAGGAGGGACGAACTGGAAGAGAGCAAGGGAAGGGGTGACAATGTCCAAAAAGAAATGCATTCTTTTTTTTTTGGGTCCAGTCATGGGGCCTGAACTCTGGGCCTGGGCGCTGTCCCTCAGCTCTTCAGCTCAAGGCTAGCACTCTACCACTTGAGCCACAGCGCCACTTCTGGCTTTTTCTGCTTATGTGGTGCTGAGGAATAGAACCCAGGGCCTCTGGCATGCAAGGCATGCACTCTACCACTGAGCCACCTTCCCAGCCTCAGGAAATGTATTCTTTACCTGACTTATATAACTGTTAACCTCTCTGTATATCACCTTTATAATAACAATTTTTGAAAGTTTTTAAAGTATTTTTAAAGAAGAAACATGAAGCCTATCTCCCATGACTCAGGATAATAACACATATTTCCAAACACACAGATACAATAATAGGCTGAAAAAAGAAGCATTAATCTAGTATATAGTGCCTTGTCAATAGAACCTAAGGAAATGATCGTACTTGATATAGTAAGATATGGAACATATTTCCAAGTAGTAAATACCATAAAAATAGGGCAATGTTAAGAATGTAGGAGGAATTTTAAGACAGAACAATATTCATCCAACTTTCCAAAATTAGAATTATACTCTACACCTAGACTAACATGGCAGGGAGGAGAGCAGTAGGGCTGAAGTACATCACAGTATCACACTCATAAATGGAACAAGTACAATAAAAAGCAAGTGCTACTATACTATGTGTGACCTGTTCACACCTCTCGACTTATAAATTCTCTCTTAAGGACACAGCCTACTCCAAAGGCTAAAGTATATCTATATGCATACACTAGGACAGTATGAAGCTTTTTGGCAAAATTATTAAGTCAAATTTATAGTTCTCAATATTTGAAATGCATCCGAATCAGCACTGATAGTTTTTAAAAAGATAAATGCCTTAAACCTATTTTCAAATAGTAATTCAGTGTATCTGGCTTTCTCTAGGCATCTGTATTTTGAAAATTAAAAATAAGGCTCCACATCTAATTGGTGGATGGCCACTGTTAGAAATGGAAATTTAAACTAACTTGAAAAGGGAAACAAAAGGAGGTTATAAATGTTCATTTTCCCTCTGAATCAGTGACCAATTCATTACTGGCTGGAGAAATTCACTTGAATCAGTGTTCTTATTTCACATCTATGTAGCTTAAGTCCTAAGACCTTGTAGAGAAGTTATTAGCTCTAACTTCACATGTACCATATTATTATATACCTCTTTCTTGTCTTCTTCTTGATCTACTCCAGACTGAAATGCCAGTGGAACTTGGAATTCAGTGCTCAATCCTGACTGATCTTCATCAGAAACCTGTCAGAAAGTCCAGTCACACAAAGTAGCAAAATTACCACAAGCTAGCCCTGTGAATCCTCTCGATTTTTTTATCTATTGATTCTATTTTCCGACAACTTTGAAGTCAACTAGATAAACAAAAAACATATAAAATAAAAGCAAAATAGATAAAAACAGGCAATTTCAGAAGGAATTACACTGACCACAAACATGAAAAAGAAACCCATAAAATGAGAAGACATTTGCATCTATCTGGAGATACACTATCTATATACATATACACACATATATATGGAGATATATACATACACACATAGACAGAGATATATTATATATATACACACATATACACAGCCTGTACATAGAAAATACTAAGAAATTCCATAACTCAATAACCAAAATACAAACAAGCCAATTTCTAAATGGACAAAGAATTAAAAAAACATACCCATAGCTTCAAGAAAATACTAAATAGAAAAATATAGCCAGCACTTCACACCTACTTTGATAGAAAATAATTTAAAATAAAGATATGGTGTCTGGGGTTAGAGCTCAATGCCAGTGTGTTTGCCTGGCAAGAGTAAGGCCCTAGGTTCAATTCTCAGTCCTTTAAATGACAAGCGTTAGTAAGGAAGTGGGAAATTTAAACTTTTGTACTTTGCTAGTAGGACTGAAAATGTTGCAGCCACTTTGGAAATTAATTTGTTAGTTCCTCCAAACACAGAATGAACATACATCCCAGCAATTCCACTGAGATACACACTTAAGAGAAATGAAAAAGATGTTCACAGAAAAACTTACAAATGTGCATAACATTATTTCTAACAGCCAAGATTCAGAAATAAGCCAAGTATCCCTCAATTAATGAGTGGTTGAATAACATGTGCTGCATAAAATGGGATTATTTGTAGGAATGAAACCCCTCTATACGTTATCATCAATGAACTTTAAGAACACTATACTAAGTAAAGAAGTCACAAAAAGGGCTGGGAAGGTGGCTCAGTGGTAGAGCGCTTGCCTTGCATGCCTGAGGCCCTGTGTTCGATTCCTCAGCACCACATAAGCAAAAAGAAAAAAAACCAAAGTGACGCTGTGTCTCAAGTGGTAGAGCGCTAGCCTTGAGCTGAAGAGCTGAGGGACAGCGCCTAGGCCCAGAGTTCAGGCCCTACGACCAGACCCAAAACAAACAAACAAAAAAACAAACAAACAAACAAAAAAGGAGTCATGGGCTGGGAAGGTGGCTCAGTGGTAGAGTGCTTGCCTTGCATGCATGAGGCCCTGGGTTCGATTCCTCAGCACCACATAAGCAGAAAAAGCCAGAAGTGGCGCTGTGGCTCAAGTGGTAGAGTGCTAGCCTTGAGCTGAAGAGCTGAGGGACAGCGCCCAGGCCCAGAGCTCCGGCCCCATGACTGGCACAAAAAAAAAAAAAAAGAAGTCACAAAAAGCCTTAGACTCCATGATCTGATTTATATGACATGATTAGATTAGGAAAATCTAAGTTGAATAAGGCAATATATTCTACCTTGTTATTTCAGCTTAAACCGGTCTCTTTGAGCTTATTTAGTACCACATTTCTTACACAGTTCTGTTAGTAATACCACTATTTTAAATGGCTCATTGAACAGATATATTACCTACTATTCCTGAATACACAAATGCTGTGATGTTACCTGTTGATTCAATCATTGACACATATAAAAAAAAGGATGTGATAAGACAGAAAATGTATATATTAAGATAAGCTTCACTCAGACATGAGTTACAATACTGCTAAGTGAGAGATCAATGGTAATGGATCTCTCTTTCTGTAGTACTAATGATCAAACCCAGAACCTTTCAAGTGAAAGAAGTCAATTCCTGAGGTATCCCATGTTCAAACTATATATAAATAATTATTTGTCTTTTAAAACAGAAATATCCATAAAATAAAGTTGTTTATTAATTATTTGACAAAAAAGTTATGGAAAAGAAAACCCTAAAGAAGTACTTTACAAGTAATAAATTCTGCTGGGTGCTGGTGGCTCACACTTGAAATCTTAGTTACTCAGGAGGCTGAGATCTGAGGGATCATTGTTCAAAGCCAGCCCAAGCAGGAAAAGTCCATGAGACTCTTATCTCCAATAAATCACAGAAAAGGCTGGAAATGGCACTGTAGCTCAAGTGATAGAGCGTTAGCCTTAAGCAAAAGGAACTAAGGGACAGAGCCCAGGTCCAGAGTTCAAGCCCAGGACCGGCAAAAAATAAAAATAAACAATGTAACTCTCATATAATCTATCAATTCCACCAAAAGGAATTTAAAGCTGAGACTGGAACAAGTATTAACTCCTAGGACTACCAAGTATGCTCATTAAAGCTGATGCATGGGTTAGCTTGCTCCTAACAGGAGTGTGGGTGTGGTGTGGTGTGTGTGTGTGTGTGTGTGTGTGTGTGTGTGTGTGTTTGGTTTGGTTTTACCAGGCCTGGGGCTTGAATTCAGGGTCTCAGCTGGCTTTTTCAGTTTATGTGGTACTGAGGAATTGAACACAGGGCTTCATGCATACTAGGCAAGCACTCTACCACTAAGGCACATTCCCAGCCCTGTTTTCTACTTTTATGTTTTATCTCACTTTCCTATGTCTCACTTCCCAAATAATTAGCCAATAAAGTCAGCCTTGTCTGAAAATAGTAAGGTAAACATCACAGAGTAGTACTAGTCATACTATCTCCTGGTTAGTAACTTCGACCTACTGACATGTTGCCAATAAATCTCTTTCTTCTTTCATTACTCTATTTCTTGAGTTATTGACTTCTCAGGCAACAGCAGAACTGGACATTTCATGGTTACATACCCAAGTTCATTACATTGTTATGTGTAACAAACAGGAGGTGAAAACAATCCAAGTGTCCATCAGTGGAAGAGTGGAGAAGCAAAATGCAGTATATGTACACATGGAATATTATTCAGGTTAAAAAGGAAATACTGTCCGATATAATAGCAGTATGATGAAACAAGATAGGCACAAAAGGATAAATACTGCATGATTCCACTTTATGAGATATTTAGAGTAATCCAACTCATGGGGACAGAAAATAGAATGGTGGTTTCTAGGAGCTGAGGGAAGGAGAAATGGAAATAATTGTTTATGGGCATAGAGGTTCAGCTTTACAAGATGAAAAAGTTCTGTAGACAGATGGTAGTGATGGTTGTGTAACAATGTGAATGCATTTAATGCCAATGTTTTGTACACTTGAAGATGGTTAAAATGAGCTAGATGTGGTGGTACATGCCAATAATCTTAACACTCAGGAGGCTTGATGAAGAGGATCATGAATTCAAGCATGGCTCACACCTGTAATCCTAGCTACCCAGGAGCCTGAGATCTGAGGATCCCAGTTCGAAGCTAGCCTGGGCAGGAAAGTCTGTAAGACTCTTATCTCCAATTAACCACAAGAAAACCAGAAGTAGAGCTGTGGCTCAAAGTGGTAGAGTGCTAGCCTTGAGCAGAAAAGTTCAGGAATAGTGACCAAGCCCTGAGTTCAAGCCCCATGACCGACAATAAACAAACAAACAAATATGAAATCATAAAGTGGTAAGTTTCATGTTAGGTATATTTTTACCATACTTTTTTAAGCATGTACCTACATTCACATGTAAATAAATGCTTATAAGGAGACAAAAAGAATACATTCATCTCTTGACAGTGATTAACTTTGAAGAGATTTCCTTCCTTTTTGTGCTGATTTGTATTTTGTTTTTAGACAAGCTCTCACTAACTTTGCCCAGGCTGACCTTTAACTTGAGATCCTTCTGTCTCTACCTGCTGAGTAACTGGCATTATAAGTGTGTACCAACATGCCCAGATGACTTCGGAATATTGCTAAGAGGAAAGAGCTAAGAAGATGAAAGTGGTGAAAGATATATTTATAACAAAGGATAATTAATAGAGCAAGGATATAAGGGGTTGGGGGGAAGATGACAAAGGAGTCCAGAATGTAGTCCCAAAACCAAACAACTCTTCCTCTGAAATAGAATAGGGAATAATGTAAAAAAGAAAAAAAAGGAGTTGGGAATGTGGCTCAGTGGTAGAGTGCTTGCCTAGCATACATAGGCCCTGGGTTTGATTCCTCAGTGCCACATAAACAGAAAAAGCTAGTAGTGGCACTGTGCCTCAAGTAGTAGAGTGCTAGCCTTGAGTCAAAGAAGCTCAGGGACAGTGTCCAGGCCCTGAGTTCAAGCCCCAGGACAGGCAAAAAAAAAAAAAAAAAAAAAGATAAATGGTTACAGCTTGTATTTTCTTTACAAAAGGCTGAGAGTGTGGAGGTACAGCAAGAAGCTTAAAGAGTATTCAAGGCTAAGACTAGTCAGTGTCGGATAATGACAATCCTTCATAAATGGCTCAATTTCAAAGAGTTCAATCCAGTTACTTTGTATTGCCCTACCTGTCGTCTTCTGCAGGTATTTCTCTGATGCCTATATGGAAGATGCTGATGACCCTCCAGAGGGAAATCCTGACGTCTTTCAGCTGTCCCAACAGACAGCTTGTGCCTAAAGTATGGGCTCTAAAAGACACAACAGCACTTATCAAATGTGAGTAGTGAAATTAATTGAGAAAATACCATGGCTTCACTAATAGGCCTGAAGGAATCTAAATAGGTCAGAATATTCTGATATATTATGGCATAAAAGTAGACATACTTCTTGTTACTCTTATGGATCACAACTGCATAAAACAATCTTAAATTTCATCTATAAAGCAAAAAATAGTATTATCTGCCAGGGTTATTGTGGAAGTTAAAATAACACATACAAACTTATAAACCATTATGGCTATGGTAGGTACATCATAAAATAAGCAATTATTTCAGATAATAACATCACTAATATTAATAAGAGATAATACTATCATCATCTCTGTGAACATCTCACACAGCTCTGACAAGCTGAGCCCAAACTCTTATAATTCTTTTTTATGCTGCTAACTCTTTACTGTACTCTGCTCTACTTGCTCTCTGGCAGAGCCTGGATCCTGGAATTCATGTAAACCATATTCTGGCACTCTGGAAATAACTTCTTTTTCCATCAGTCATCTGTCACATCACATCATGCCTGTATTCCTGTGCTAAAAGACATATAGATGTTGATATAAATCATCTAAGCAGGAGCATTACACCTGCAGCAATACAAAAAGCTTCAGTGGAGAGGGCTGAAGTGGTATCAGTAAGAATGGTTGATATATCACAAAACATTATATTTTTCCCCATTATTAAAGGTTGCCCTATCAATGTTGAGCAGAAACCTAAGCAGTTTTTTCTCTGTTCCCTACTCTTCGCTATTATCAGGCTCTATTTATTCTATGAGAGAAGCTAAGTCTCAAATGTTAGGTAAAATGTCTTGATAGCGCTCCAGAGGCAAGTCTTCTTGCAGTCTCCTGTTTGTCCAAAGATGAAGGCTGTTTGCCATACTTGTTCTATAGAAATATAAAATAGGCAACAGTCTAAACATGATGGGCTAATCACAATACCACAGAATTCAGTGACAATACTAAAGTAATGATACAAGGTAAGAATAGAACACAGCTAGAGAGATGTGTGTGTGTGTGATTTGTGCATGTATTTGTGCTTAACATATAATTTTTAAACAAAGATTGTACTCTGAATCACCAAGTACACCCATTCAATTTCAATAATTGCCAACATTTTTCTCTCCCTCTCCCTTTCTCCCTTCCTCTTTCTCTCTCCCCACACCTTGCTCTTCCTCTCTCTTTCCCTCTCTCTCTTGCTTTCTTTTTCTCCCTCCCTTCCTTCCTCTTCTTCTCTCTCCCCTCCAACTTTTTCCAAGAGTTTAAATCAAATATGGATTATTCTGGTACATGTGAAACAACTGAAGATATTTTACTCTTAGCCTAATTGTGGAGGTCTACAAAGTCTACAGAGTACACATACAAGCTAGCTGATACATTAAGTCCAAGAATAAGTAGTCTTGTTTCTCTCTGTTTTAAAAAGTATATAGCCAGGTACTAGTAGCTCATGCCTGCAATCCTACTTAGGAGGCTGAGATCTGAAGATCATAGTTTGAAGCCAGCTATGGCAAAAAAGTCCATGGAACTTTTATCCTCAATTACCAACCAAAAAAGCTGGAAGTGGAGCTGTAGCACAAGTAGAAGAGTACCAATCTTGAGTGAAAAAGCTAAGGGACAATGCCCAAGACCTGAGTTTAAGAATCCAGTACCAGTACCAAAAAAAAAAGTATATATCCCTCCTTCTCTAGATGCTACTCTACCTCTTCTCTAGAGGAGACTTGGTCCTGGATTTTAGGTGGAACATACTGATGATACTCCGGAAGCAAGTCTTCCCCCTCTCTTTTGTCTCTCATAAAAGATGAGGGTTGTTGGAGAAATATGTTCTAAGAGAATGACAAGAATAGAAAGAAAATAAAACAAGGGTAATATGCTACTCCTTAGGTTTCAGTGAAAACTTTAGGGAAATAATATCAGGAAGAATATTTGATGTTTTATCATCAGTGAGGATGTTTTACTTTCAATCCAACCTTGTAGACTTTAATTCTAGATCCTATATTATTCATGTAAGGAAACTATGTTTGTGGAAAATACTGTGACTAATCCTTATCAACTAGTTTAATGTTATCAGTCTTTAGATAGAAGAAATGATTTGATTTATATGGTTCACTAGACTAGAGTCTCTTGTACTATAAGGTGCAAGGTAGAAGGAACCGGACAGAAGAAGTGAATCTAATTAAGGTATATAGTATGAACAAATGGATATGTCAGAATGAGATCTCCTTGTACAATTATTTTTGTCAAATAAAAAGTAAATGTGTGTGTGGGGTGGGGAGAACAAACAGCCCATCAGGAACTGAAATGCAAACACTCTGCCCATCCTTCTCAAAGCAAGGGCACTGTTCTAATAGGATTTAGCAATACTAGTTTAGTAATGTGGGAAGTAATCAAAAATAATATATGCTTAGATTAGCTTCAAAGTTCTGATTCTATTCCTTGTATACTAATATTCAGATACTTTATTTCCCATTTCTTTATCTCTTTCTGCTCTACCTGGTCTCCTATGAAGTCCTGGAACCTGAATTTAGATGGCAGATACTGATGATCCACAGAAGGGACTTCTCTCCCTTTTTCATCTGTCCTATCAGAGAATGGCTCCTGAAAGCGTACTTTCTGAAAGAGAAAAAAACACAACTATATATTGTTTAATAGGAATAATAGTATAGCAGTAATTTTCGAGGATTTGTTGGGAGTCTTAAGAGTGAATGATAAAATATTATGAATAAAACTGAAAAACATACTTCTCGTAATAGAGAATAATCTTTGCAAGCTCCAAACTGAACCCTAAACCATTTAGTTCCTGCTGGTTTCTGTCATGTTTCTGTTCTAGCTTATCCCTGGGAGGCCTGATGATGCCTGCATAGAAAATCCCAGTGGACATGCAGAGGAGGCTCCTCTCTCCCTCATCTACTTATCAAAATTGATGCTGGCTGCTTTAAATTTACATTCTAAAACAGAATAAACAAAAAATATGAACAGTTCAGTGAATGGGAAAAGCGGGGGAGAACAAAGAAAGGGGTGACATTGGCCAAGAAGCATGTACAACTACTTAATAATAATAATTTTAAAAAGAATGATAATTTAGATATAGACTTAAGGTCAGAGTGTAACTGGATAATTTTTGGAGTAAAACAAAAATTATTTCCTTCCTACAAAAGCACAATTATATCAAATTTACTTCCTATTTACTTCTTCTGTCTACTGTATCTCTGGTAGAGAGCTGGCCTCAGAAGCTGAATAAACTTTGAGAATACTGTGGGCCACTCCTTTATCCATTTTTCACCTGCCAAAGCAGATGATGGCTGCCAGAAACATTTTCTTAATTAGTAAGATTTTAAAAACAATAAATTATCTAGATTTATCTAGATAGGAGTAATACTGGAACACTTGTTATGAACCCTGAAGTTTTGGGAAACCAATCAGGAAATCCTTAATTACCTCCTACAAATCTCTAAGTCAGTGGCAATATAATGCTTCCAAGTCCCATACCAAACCCGATTACTTCTTGGTGTTAAATTTTTTTCAACTTGATTTTACCTGATTTTTAGATTGAAAATCATGCTCCTGATATTGGTGTAGAATATTCTGATCTTTGAGGAGAAAATCTTGGACTTCACATTTGGGTAGAATATTCTGGTCTGTAGAGAGAAAATCCTGGTTCTGATATTTAGATGGAATACTCTGGCTTTTGGGAAGAACACACTGGTCTTTGAGTAGAAAATCCTGGTCTGTTTGGTCTATTTGACTTTTGGGGAGGATATGACAATTTCTAGGTAGAAAATTCTGGTCCTGATATTTAGGTAAAATATTCTGGTCTTCATGGAGAACACAGTGGTCTTTGGGTATAGAGTGCTGGTGATGACAACTGGAGAGCAAATCTTGGACAACCATCTCAATATTCCCATCTTCTAGCTCAGTACTCACAGTTTCTGTTTTCATAACCTTTCCTTCTGGCCCAGTGGCCTGAGAATCTGGCTCGATGCTTGGAGATTTGAGCTTTACACTTTGAATTTCTGCTGAATAATTCCGAGTTTCTGAGAGATCACCTTGAGCTTCTGGAAGACAATCTTGAGCTTCTGTCAGAATATCCTGAAGGCCCTGAAAGTACAACTGTTTTTGTTATCCTCTTCCATCAGAACAAATAGTGGATTTTTGAATTTTACTTTCTAAAATTAAGCACCAGATACAAAATATTAATAACAAAAATTTAGATTTTTCTTTTTTCTTTTCTCTTTTTTTATGGCCAAGATGATGTACAGAGGGGTTAGTTACATAAGAAAGGTAATAAGTACAGTTCTTGTCCCCTCATTTTTCTCCTACTTTCCCTCCCCCCAACCTCCCTCAAGTTGTACAGATCATTTCCAACTTATTGTCTTGTGAATATTGCATTGGTTCCCCCCTTGTCCTTTGTCTCACCATTTTGTTGTTCCCTTTCCCTTCCCTAATTCAAATAAATGTATATACAATACCAGGCTACCAAAATCAAATATGGTCACAACAAGGGATATACCACTGGGAGAAGAATATACAAAAGAAACAAGAAATAACATGGTACATAAAAACAACAACAATGAAGGAAAACCTCGTGTCCAAGTCTTGGAGTTCGTTTTGCTTAGCATCTTCTTATATGGTCATATATACATAGCTATTGTTCTGCTCATCTGCTATGATTATCCTAGCCGTATACTAAGGGAAACCATGGGACTTATGTTTCTTTGGATCTGGCTTATTTCACTAGCCATACAAGGACTTCATATCTAAAATATACTTAGAACTCAAAAAATTAAATCCCCCAAAAACAAATCTTCAAAGAAACAACCACCTCATTAATAAGTAGGCTAAAGACTTAAAGAGATTTCTCTGAAGAGGAAATAAGAATGGCCAATAGACACATGAAGAAATGCTCAACATCTCTGGTCATAAAAGAAATAAAATCAAAACAACACTGAGATTCCATCTCACCCAAGTTAGAATGGCTATAATCAATAAAGCTAATAACAAGAGATGCCAGAAGGGAATGCTACTGCATTGTTGGTGGGAGTGTAAACTTGTTCCACCACTCAGGAAAGCAGTATGGAGGTTCCTCAAAAGACTACACATAGAACTCCCCTATGACCCAGCAATCCCACTTCTGGCCATTTACCCAAATAACCACAAACAAAGCCATACTAAGCTCCCAGCACAACTATATTTACTGCAGCATTATTCACCATAGCTAAGATTTGAAACCAACCCAGATGCCCCTCAGTAGATGAATGGATCAAGAAAATGTGGAATATATACATAATATATATATATATATGCACACACACACATATATATATATTTACACACATACACACACACACACACGCACACACACACAATGGAATTCTATGCTTCCATCAGAAAGAATGACACCGCACCATTTGTAAGGAAATGGGAAGACTTGGAAAATTTAGATTTTTCAGTGAGATTACTGAGGTAAAATGTGAATTCATGATTTTTGCCCAACCTCTGCAAGTCTAAACTTAGTCTAAATTACAATTAGTATACTTACTGCTTTACCTGAGCTCTGCTGAAAGACTTCTCTTTATCTTCAGAAAGGAGATCTTGCTGGTTTCCACAAATCAAAGCTCTCTGTTTCTCATCTGTCATATCAGAAGAAATGTCCTCATGGTCAGATTCCTAAAGAAAGAGCAAACAAAAACAATTAAGAATTTTTTAATACACTAAAGGTAGCTATTACTGGCAGAAATTAAAATCAAAATCCTATGTTTCAGGATACTGCTAACATGGTTTTAGTGGGACAGCATATTCAAGCTGCATGAAATGCTTATGACACAAAACTATACATATAAAACTATAAAATATTGTTGAAAAGTTAAAGATCTAAATACACAGAAAGACATCCCATATTTATGGACAGGGATTGTAACCACATCAATACTGGTGGATGTTCTGGTGCATGCCCGCAGTCCCAATCCTTGGTAGGCTGAAGTACAAATCCCAGAGCTCAAAACCAGCCTGGACAACGTAGAGACCTCATCTCAATTTAAAAAAGCTTATTTCGCCAGGCGACAGTGGCTCACACCTGTAATCTTAGCTACTCAGGAGGCTGAGATCTGAGGATCGTGGTTCAAAGCCAGCCCGGGCAGCAAAGACTGTGAGACTACTATCTCCAATAAACCAATAGAAAACCAGAAGTGGCACTATGGCTAAAGTGGCAGAGCGCTCGCCTTGAGCTGAAGAGCTGAGGGAAAGCACCCAGACCCAGAATTCAAGCCCTACAACCGACCATAAAAAAAAAACTTATTTCAAGTAGAGGAAAAATGAAGGAGGGGGTAACAATGCTCAACAGGAAATGTCATTACCTTATTTATGTAACTGTAACCCCTCTGTACACTATCTTTACAAGAAAAAAAAGAAAAGCATATTTCAAAATTGATATATTGAGTCAAATATTTCTTTCAAAATGTTAAGTGACTTTTTTTAAGAAATAACTAAAAGCAAATTGTAAAATTCATATGGAAATACAAGACACTCTTAATAGCAGAATATGCTCAAAGAAGAATAAAGTTGGAGGCTTTAAAACCTACCATAAAGCTGTATTAATCAAGACAGTGTGACACTGGCATGTGAATACACATATAATACAGAACTGAGGATCAGAAACAAACCTTATATTCATAGGCAGTTGATTTTGAAAAGGATGCAAAGATAATCTAATGGTGAAGAATAATATTGTCTACAATCATTGTTAAGACAATTGGATATCAACATGCAGACCATTTCTTACACTATACATAAAAACAAACTCAAATGGCTTACATACCTAAAAGTATAGGCTAAAACTATAAAATTCTTGGAACACAAAAGAATGATACTTCCTGACCTTGGATTAAGAAATGGTTGGGGGGAGGGAAGGGCTGGGAAGGTGGCTCATCGGTAGAATGCTTGCCTTGCATGCATGAGGCCCTGGGTTCAATTCTTCATAAGCAGAAAAAGCTGAACTGGTGCTATGGCTCAAGTGGCAGAGCACTAATCTTGAGCTGAAGAGCTGAGGGACAGTGCTCAGACCCAGAGTTTAGGCCTCATAAGACAAAAAAAAAAAGGTTAGATACTATACTTAAAGCATAAAGAACAAAAGGGAAAAAAAGAACTGGAGGGCTGGGAATGTGGCTCAGTGGTAAAGTACTTGCCTCACATGCATGAGGCCCTGGGTTCGATTCCTCAGCACCACCTAAGTAGAAAAAGCTGGAAGTGGTGCTGTAGCTCTAGTGGTAGAGCACTATCCTTGAACTAAAGAGCTGAGAGACAGTGCCAGGCCCAGAGTTCAAGCCCCACAACCGACCAAAAAAAGAAGAACTGGATTAGACTACAATTAAAATAAAAATTTGTCCTGCAAGTGATGTATTAACCAAGTGAAATAACAACCCACAGAAACATTTATAATAAGGGATTTATAAGTAAAGTATAAAAAGGATACTTAAAACTTGGTAATAAAAGCCAGGCACCATGGGGCTGGAAATGTGGCTTAGTGGTAGAGTGCTTACCTAGCATGAAGAAGCCCTGGGCTTGATTCCTCAGTCAGTACCACATAAAAAGAAAAAGCCAAAGTGGCGCTGTGGCTCAAGTGGTAAGAGTGCTTGCCTTGAGCACAGAGAGGCTCAAGGACAGTGCCCAGACCCTAAGTTCAAGCCCCAGGACCAGAAAAAAAAAAAAAAAAAAAAGCCAGGCACCAGTGGCTCACTCTCGTAATCCTATTCAGGAGGAGGAGATCTGAGGATCTTGGTTGAATCCAGCCCTGGAAGGAAAGTCTGTGAGACTCTTATTTCCATCTAACCACCAGAAAACAAGAAGCGTGTGGCTCAAAGTGGTGGTAGAATACTAATCTTGAGTGAAAAAGCTTGGTGACAGTTCAAGACTCACAACCAACAACAACAACAAAAAAAAACCTTGATAATAAAAACAAATAAATCAATTAAAAATACTGCAAGGGAGCAAGGGAAGGGGTGACAATGTCCAAAAAAGAAATGTACTCTTTACTTGAATTATATAACCATAGCCCCTCTGTACATTACATTCATAATAACAATTTAAAAAAATTAAAAACAAATAGCCATAGCATTTGCATAAACATCTTCTCCACAACAAGGACCAATATAGGCAGTACACATTTTTTTTTTTGGTTGGACGTGGAGCTTGAACTCTGGGCCTGGGCACTATCCCTCAGCTTTTCAACTCAAGGCAAGCACTCTGCTTGAGCCACAGCACCACTTCTGGTTTTCCAGTGGTTAATTGGACTTTCCTTGCCCAGGCTGGCTTTGAACTATGTTCTTAGATTTCAGCCTCCTGAGTAGCTAAGATTATAGGCGTGAGTCACCGGCACCCAGCTGGCAGTATACATTTTTTAACTACATTTCTCTACCTGATTATCCATAAAGTTTTGGTAATGTACAGTAGTTAGAAGATCTTGATGATTGTTTAGGGGGAACTCTCTTCTTGTTTCTGTATTTATCTTGATGTTTTCTGGCTTCTTAGAAGGTGTTGTCTAGAAAAAGAAAACCAATATATAACATAAATGGTCTAGGGAAAACAATATCCTCATGATATTAACTGAAACTTTGTAAAAGATCTGGAATGATCTTAATAGGTTATTATAGCCTTATATAGAATAAAGGAAAAATATAGTTCTACTTCAAATTTACAAGCAAATCACAAATCAACCTATGGGACAAAACAAGACTAGGAAGAAAATATGTATACTTTATTAATGACCACTGCCACCATTCTAGCTAATAGCCATTTAGAAGACTTATGACTTTAGACTTGGCAATTTGACAGAGGCCAAGCAAGTATTATGTTCTACTCATATCCTCAAATCTGGAACAACCAGAGTAATGTCACTGAAGTATAACAAGGAAATAAAAGCAGAACTAAACGGGGTTCTACTTTGTTCTTTCTGGTTGGCAGATTCCCACTTCACACAAAAAATAAGATCTTTTTAAAAATTTCAGCTTGAAGGAAAAGACTTGGCAGTGATAAGAAAAATTTCACTAACTTCTTAGCTCATTCCCAATTATATGAAGTGGATCTGTTTCTGTTGTTTTGCTGCTATAAACAAACAAACATGTATTCTTTGGAAACAAGTCTGAAATCATTATCATCATAATAATGAATATATTTAAATGGCATCCCTGACATATAAAACTGGTTTGTACAAGGATGTTATTTCAGAATTAATCCTATTCTTTCTGAAAAAGCACCAATCAAAATACTGCTATAAAATAGCAATCTCTAGTACCAATCGTGTCTTCCTAACAGTATCCTGGAGTGAGCTTAATAGCCCAAACATGATAGGCATGAGAACTGTTAAGCCTCTGAGAACAACTGAGGTACAAAGAAAGGGTATTTCCATACTCACAACAAGATAACACTAGAAAAACGTAGCTTTACTGACTACAGGTAAGATTAATTGCCAAATGAGAATATACATCTATATATATTTTCTTTTTTCTATTTAAATTATAAATTTTTAAATTATTATTAAGGAGGGATGTATTTATAGTTTGGTAAGCTAACTGCAAACATAAAGACAAACTATTCGGTGACTGTGCTGAGATACTTAGGAAAACACAACATTATGTAACAGTGGTCCCCTAAGATTGTCACCTAATGACAAAGCCCTTAGTTTGCATTTTATTTACACAATGACAAAACCAGTTGGCACATATTTCTCTAGGCCATGTCCCTGTCACTAAGTGACACGTAACTGCATATAATCTATGAAAGCCAGTGCTCATGCCTATAATACTAGCTATGTAAGAGGCTGAGAACTGAGGATCTCAGTTCAAAGCCATCCTGGGCAGGAAAGTCGCCTGTAAGACTTTTATCTCCAATTAGCCACCAGAAAACTAGAAGTGGTGCTGTGGCTCAAGTGGTAGAGTGTTCACCTTGAGCTGAAGAGCTTAAGGACAGCGCCCAGGCTCAGAGTTCAAGCCCCAGGACCAACAAAAACACAAACAGAAAAAAGAAACTTGATTGCTAAAACTAAGTAACCACAGAACACATCTGAATTGAGCACCACTTTTGTGAACTCTGAATAAACAGGCACCAAAACAATGTCATTTACAAGTAAAGGTTTAAATAGCCTTTTAAGTCACCTCCATATTTAGATTCCAATTATTTACTCTAGAACTGGAGCCAAAAGAATTCCTTTATTTAAAAAAAAAAAAAAAATAGTGAGCTGGGCACCAGTGGTTCATGCCTGTAATCCTAGCTACTCAGGAGGCTGAGATCTGAGAATCACAGTTCAAAGCCAGTCCGGGCAGAAAAGTCCATGAGACTCTTAACTCCAATAAACCACTAGAAAACCGGAAGTGGCACTGTGGCTCAAGTAGTAGAGCGCTCGCCTTGAGCTGAAGAGCGCAGGGAGAATGCCCAAGCCCAGAGTTCAAGCCCCACAACCAACCAAAACAAACAAAAAAATAAATAGTGAGGGGCTGGGAAGGTGGCTCAGTGGTAGAGTGCTTGCCTTGCATGCTTGAGGCCCTGGGTTCAATTCCTCAGCACCACATAAGCAGAAAAAGCCCGAAGTGGAGCTGTGGCTCAAGTGGTAGAGCACCAGCCTTGAGCTGAAGAGCTGAGGGACAGGGCCCAGGCTCACAGTTCAAGCCCCATGACTGACAAAAAAAAAAGAATTAAAAAATAAAAAAGACAAAGAAATGTACTCATTATCTTGCCCATGTAATTGTAACCCCTCTGTACAGTATTTTCACAATAATAAATAAATAAAATAAAAAAGACAAAGAAGAAAATTAAGGTCACCTATAATAATAAACTGATATAATCAGTATTGCCAGTGATACAGTTTAGTAGTAGAGCACTTGCATAGCATGTATGAGGCGCTGGGTTCAATACCTAGCACCACAGATATTTCTTGTTTGGGTTTTTGTTTTTTAACTGTATTTTTTTTTGTCTTTTCTTTTTTGGTACTAGGGATCGAACCCAGGACGTTGCACTTGCTAGGCAAGCACTTTGCCACTGAGCTACATCCCAGCCCACCACAGGTAGAAATAACTTTTATTTAATAAATAAACTTTATTTTTTATTTGTGTGTGTGAGCAGGTTCCGAGGCTTAAACTAAGGGATGAGGTGCTATCCCGGAGCTTTTCAGTTCAAAGTTAGCACTTTTATCACTTGAACCACAGCTCTACATCCAGCTTTTTGGTGGTTAATTGGAGATAAGAGTCTCACCAACTTTGCTGCCTGGACTGGTTTTGATTTGTGATCTGCAGATCTTAGCCTCCTGAGTAGCTAGAATTACAGGATGAGTCACCAGCACTTAGCCTCTCATGTAATTTATATCCAGACTTTTGTCTATCTACATAGCATCCTCTCCCTAGCTCTTTATTTTGCTTTTTCTTTATAACACTACTCACTTGAAAGCCAGCATTTACTTGCATGTATATACATACATCTGTACTTGTACAGAAGAAAGAAATTCCCTACGAGATCATCGTCTGTATTTTCACCAATATAAAGTGCTATTTCTGGAACAAAATCTAGCAAGTAAACATTCTACAAATATATATATATATATATATGACAAATATTAGATGTGTAGATATCACTTATCTATAACTTTATATCTATTCTCATTTAACCTTATGTTGTACTTTCCCCTAATTTCAGATTGTCTTTGAACATGGTACTTTTTTGCAACTGCTCTATGCGGATATATTATAATTTGCTCGAGTTTCCCCAACCCTGGGGAAGGTTATTTCCATTTTAAATTATACTATGGTGCAAATTGTTACCCGTATTTTTTACCTGTATTTAAAAACAGTGTATTGGAAATTAATTTACTTCTTCAATAGGAGATTTTTCTTTCTTTCTACCTTCTTCCTTTTGAAAATACTGATGTTGCTTTTATTTTTCCTAGTCCCTGCCTTATACTTACAGGACCTTAAGCTACTCTGCCAGCTCTTTTTTAAACTGGTTCTTTTTAAGATAGGGCCTCCTTTTATGCCCAAGCTGGCTGGATTATACTTCCCTGCATAGCTAGGATGACAGATACATACATATCACTGTATTGAGATAAAGTCTCTCAAAATTTTGTTTGCCCATGTTGGCCTCAAACTGTTAACCCTTTGGATCTCATAAACAGCTAAGATTACAGGCTTGAGCCATCATACCCAGTCTACTATCTTTTTTTTCCTTTTTGCCAGTCCTGGGGGGGAGGGGTTGAACTCAGGACCTGGGTGCTGTCCCTGAGTTTCTTTTTGCTGAAGACTAGTGCTCTACCACTTGATCCACAGCTCCATTTTGGCTTTGAATTGTGATCCTTACATCTCAGCTTCCTAAGTAGCTAGGATTACAGGCATTAGCCATTGGGGCTAACATCTTTTTTTCACTCACCGTTTTAAAGGATGCCAGCTGGTGTCGTGCCTGTTTCATGGTTTGACTAAGCTGTCAGGGAAAGTTGGGGAAAAAAAAACAGAAACAAGTTAATGGGGAAAAAAAAACAGAAACAAGTTAAAGTCTTAATACCAAATGGACTAAGCACCAGAAAATAAATCCCTATTATTTAAAAAAGCCAGATCTAAGAAAATTATTTGCAAAAGAGACTTTGATCTGCTGATAATGTTTTACCTTATTATTATTCTAAAATAACTTGATAATTTCATAACTTAAGAATTGCTACTGGGGCTGGGAAGGTGGTTCAGTGGTAGAGTGCTTGCCTTGCATACATGAGGCCCTGGGTTCGATTCCTCAGCACCACATAAGCAGAAAAAGCCAGAAGTGGTGCTACGGCTCAAGTGGTAGAGTGCTAGCCTTGAGCTAAAGAGCTGAGGGACAGCGCCCAGGCCCAAAGTTCAGGCCCCATGACCAAACCCCCCCCCCCAAAAAAAAGAATTGCTACTGAAATGGATTTTTAAACAGTATATACTTTATATTAACCTTGTACACAAAATTCCAAACTTAAAATATGAGCTATTACACTTGCAAATAGATATCTTCCTTACTTTTTAGTTATCTTTTAATTAGGAGTTATTTCTCTAACTGACCTTCATTTGCCTAGTTGTTTTCATTATTCCTTGCTAGAAACTCAGAACTCTAGTTCTAAAAACTTTGTTTTTATTTATGGGACTCTCTTCACTTCCCCCAATGTTTGATCTCCATCTGTGGGAAGAAGTTACTACAGAGCACAAAAATCTTTAAAGAATCAAGGTGTTGCCAAACACCGGTGGCTCATACCTGTACTAGCTACTCAGGAGACTTGAGATCTGAAGATCAGAGTTCAAAGTTAGCCCAAGCAGGTGGACTCTTACCTCTAATTAACCACCAAAAAAGCCAGAAGTGGAGCTGTGGCTCAAGTGGTACAACACTAGACTTAAGCAAGAAAGCTCAGGAACAGTGTCCAAGCCCTGAGTTCATGCCTCAAGACCATTGCCATCCTCCCTCCCCGCCAAAAAAAAAGAATTAATGTGTTTTAACTACTCTAAGTAACATCTGATAAATGACTATTTATAGTAAAGTTATGTAACATCTGATAAATAACTATATTAAAGTTGTGTTCATTCCTTAACTCTAGTAATTCAATATATAAATATTTTTATTTTTTCAGGACCACATCCTATATCTCTCAAATCTACAAAAAATGTCTACTCAGAAGCCAGGTTTGGTGGTGCATGCTTATCATCCTAAAATTTGCGAGGCTAAAGTAGGAGGATCACAAGTTCCAAGAAAGCCAGAGCTACATCTCAAAAATCAAAAGTCCCTTTAGGAAAAAGAAATGAATATGTATCATCATGTAGGATAAGTACAGCATTAGGCCCTATACAAATACTTCCATAGTAAGAAAATTATGGCAAGGTCAGGACTATTTCTAACCCATTAATTAAAAGTTTAATGGTATCAGATCTCCCTTGTAGGAAAATGAGGACTAGGATTTATAGGTATAAAGAACACATACTGATTTTCACTAATAAAGATAGGGATAAAAACACTATTTTTCACTACCAGTCTTGTTTTTCTACAGCATTTCATTTCCATTTTAGAGCTGCTTCTACAGATCCATAAATAAATAACCTTGAAACATTAACCTTGCTTTGTTCTATCAAGAGAAAACCTTCTAGATCTGATTAGTTACAGAGTTGGCTAAAAAGGCCAAAACATAGCTATTCACAATGCAAAGAGATATACATGCAATTGAAGTTATAAACAAAATACAAAGGTACAGATATGCCTGCTTTTAAACACTGTCAGGTACTGTGGGTGCTACTGGCCCGCATCATGTAATGGAAGATCAAAAGCTCTTTTGTAACCATTAAAAAGACTTCTGAATCTTCATTTCCCTTCAAATCTTAATTGCTAGCAATTAGGTTTGGCATGACATTTGTTGAGTTTCTTTTTTGTTGCCTAAAATCTTCACTAAATCTCACCCTTGTAATTGTGGCTGAGGATACAGGAGGCTGAATAATGGACAACTAAAAGCACAAGGGCCTAATCCCTGAAATTAAAATGTCACTTTTTTAATATAAGGAAAAAGAACTTTTGCAGACATGATGAAGTTAAGGATCTTGAGATTAGGTAACAATCCTGGAGTATCCAGATAGGCACTAGATGCTGTCCTAAGTGTATTTGTAAGACAAAAGAAAAGGTACAGGCAGAGCAGCACAATGTGGTCACAAGCAAAGAAAGTCAGTAGGCATTCCTGGGAATATCAAGGAACAAATTTTCCCCTAAAAATCTGTGGAGGCAGCACGACCACAATGACACCTTAATGTTGGTTCAATGAAACTGATTTTGGAGTTCTGGTCTTCAGAACTGTGAGAAAATCCACTTTTGTCATTTTAAGCCATTCAGTTTAAGGTAATAAAATCTGAGGCTATCATAGCAGCCACCAGAAATGTAACTGATAAAAGAACTAAAGTTAATATTTGTAAGCATTATGTAAAAACAAAATAGGGGACTGTAACTACTATAAAATTATATGATAATTACAGCAAACAAGTATGTAAGTACACTCCTCTTGCTGCAAGACAATAGTGATCATTACAACTGTAGCTGCTTAAAAGAACATTTATACCGCCCGGGCCGAGTGCCAGTGGCTCACACCTATAATCCTAGCTACTCAAGAGGCTGAGATCTGAGGATTGTGGTTCAATCAGGCAGCAAACAGGCAGGAAAGTTCACCTGTGAGACTCTAACTCCAATTAACCACCAGAAAACCAGAAATGGCCCTGTGGCTCAAGTGGTAGAGCACTTGCCCCGAGTTGAAGAGCTTAGAGACAGTGCCCAGGCCCAGAGTTCAGCCCCACAACAACAACAACAACAACAAAAATTTATACATGTGTACCTACAATCTGTGTATGAATACTCAAATACAAAAACTTATTCCAATTATATTTTATAATAGAACTAAACCATTCATTCACCTGTAACTGTTAACTATAATTAATCTACATTAACACCAAATCTCAGATCAAGACTTAAAAGAAGCCGGGTATTGGTGGCTCACATCTGTAATCCTAGTTACCCAGGAGGCTGAGATCTGAGGATCACAGTTCAAAGCCAGCCTAGGCAGGAAAGTCCGTGAAACTCTTATCTCCAATAAACCACTAGAAAACCAGAAGTGGTGCTGTAGCTCAAGTGGTAGAGCGCTATCCTTGAGCTGAAGAGCTGAGGGACAGCGCCCAGGCCCAGAGTTCAAGCCCCACGACAAAAAAAAAAAAAAAGATTCTCTGACAGAGTATACTGTTCACAACTGCACAGAAAACCTAAGAAATGGAATTATCAGTGCAACTCCAGATAAAACAAAAAGCCAAAGAAGGAAAAGTAATCAGTTTACTACCTGGATTAGCTGTAATGTTTACAAAGTCATAACACTGTAAATGGTATCATCTAAGCAAAATTACAATAAAACTATAGAGGGTGAAGGATGGAAAAGTACATGCATAATGGCAGGAATAGGTAGAACGAAAGCTAAATCCTCATCTTTTCTAGTGGGACATCAATAAAAATGCCTTAAAAAAAACACTAAAATAAAACCACTATAAGTACATTACTTAGAAATATGAATGCTAGCACCAAAAGAAAAAACCTGTTTTAAATAGTCAAATAGCTGCTTTGGCCAGGGGAATGAATGGGCAAAGTACTTCGGTGCAATATTGTGCCCATCTTCTTTTACTTGTTTTAAACTATGTGCATATGTAATCTCAATAAAACTAAACATGGAAAAAAAAGAAAATATTCCTTGACAATTTCCCTCACAAAGCCATCATTCCATGAGCAATGTAAGTATGCAGCTTCATTTTAGGTTCTCATATTGCAGATATATACTGCAGATATGCAATACACACACACTCTCTCTCTCTCTTTCTTTCAGGAATATGCTAGAAAACACTGGTCTAGATTTTCTTCCATCTAGTAAAAAAAAAAAAAATTAATGCCAAGAAAATTTGGTTCTCATTGACTGGTAAAGACATATTCCAGAGGTACCACACAACCAACTGTTGTGCCTTCTAAGGGAAACTGACAACCCCACAAACACTAATATAGGGACAGCCTGTATGGCAGCCTCTTTCCCAGCAGCCTTAGCTGATTGGAACCAGGGTGGTATATCAAGTAATGTAGATCTTAACAGTGTTCTCTATATTCAATAATAAAACCGTCTATTTCACACACAGAAACCTAACTATTAGCAAGAGAATTTTATCTGATGTAACAAAAGCTAGACGACATAACAAATTTTGAGATTTATATCTTAAAATCTAAAGAAGGTATAGTCCTATATTAAAATTTAAAACATCAAGCTAAGTATACAGGATAAAGTTTGATAAATATATATGTCTACTATGACACTTTTTTTATTCATATTTTCATCAGTTTTTTAAGTAATTGTTAATATAAATTTTTACTTAAAGATTAGAAAGAATTTATTATATTAAACAATTACTTAGGTCATACAACAAGATAACAGATAAGATCTGACATTTACAGTATTTCAGCTACTTTATTGTCATGAGCCTATACCATTGTTGTTGGTGGTAGTGGTCATGGGTCTTGTGCTCAAGGCTAATGCTCTACCACTTTGAGCCACAGTGCCACTTCCAGTTTTCTGGTAGTTAATTAGAGATAAGAATCACTGAATTTTCTGCCCAGAATAGCTTTGAACCATCATCCTTACATCTCAGCCTCCTGAATAACTAGAATTTCAGGCATGAGCCACTGGCACCTGCAGTTTGCCTATACCAATTTTTTTTTCCTGGTCCTGGGGCCTGAACTCTGGGCCTGGGTGCTATCCCTCAGCTCTTCACCTCAAGGCTAGTACTCTATCACTTGAGCCATAGCACCATTTCCAGCCTTTTCTATTTATGTGGTGCTGAGGAATCGAACCCAGAGACTCACACATGCAAGGCAAGAATTCTACCACTGAGTCACCTTCCCAGCCCTATCTATACCAATTTTAAAAGCATGTGATACCAATCAAAAAAAAAAAAAAAAAAAAAAGAACCTCGGGGAAGGGAGGGAGGGAGGGGATGGTAGGGGGAAAACAATGGAGGGGGTAACAATGTTCAAGAGGAAGTGTACTCATAACCTCACTCATGTAACTGTGACCCTCTGTATAGTAGCTTTACAATAAAAAAAAAAAAAAAAAAAGAAAAAAAAAAAAAAAAAAAAAAAAGCATGTGATACCATAAAGATCCACTCAAAGCTGAATTTTATTCAAGAGCAATGTGGCTTATTTGCAAGCTAGTTATTTTTAAATGTTCTACTTTTCAATAGCCACAAAAAGCTGAAACTCACACAAGTCTCTTATTATAGTCCATAAACCCCAATGTAAGGCATCAGCGTTACATAAGCTTTCTCTTTCACTGTCCATACCTCTCTATAGGATAGCCTGTAAGCCAGAACCTAATGCAACAACAACAACAAAAAAAAGGCCAATAAAGATTCTTTATCAGCTAGGCACCAGTGGCTCACACCTGTAATCCCAGCTACTCAGGAAGCTGAGATCTAAGGATAACTGTTCAAAACCAGCCCAGGCAGTAAAGTCTGTGAGACTCGTATCTCCAATAAACCACTAGAAAACCGGAGGTGGTGCTGTGGCTCAAGCAGTAGAGCGCTCCCCTTGAGCTGAAGAGTGCAGGGACAGTGCCCAAGCGCAGAGTTCAAGCCCCACAACCAACCAAAAAAAAAAAAAAAAAAAGATTCTTTATCAGAGATAAGGAACTAGGAAATATTAGAGAAAATCAGACAGAACTTGAACCCAAAAGGTCCCAAACTGAAGAAAAGACACAAAAGGAGCCTTAAGTATGCCAAAAGTACAGTTGTGATGAAGTGAAAAGAATACCAGCTAAGTGTGGGAAAGTAAGTCAATGAGAAAGAAACATCTATGTAGAGACAGGAAGATCAAAGAACTGGCTGGCCTGAAAATGTCCAGGTTTTAGGACTGGAAGACTCATTTCCTAGGAAATCCCTCACTCTTGAGACACACTAGGAGAGCAATTGAATCAATTAAGTTAATGACTAAATGCTAGTATAAATTCAATTATATCATTCTCTTATCATCACTGGATCTTACATGCAGAAAAACATTCACTTAAAGACCTTTAAAGGAAGTTTGAATTTGTGTGAGGTTCAAATTGTATTTTGATTAACCCAAGTCCCAGCGTCTTTTTTTTTAAATAAGTTTTTTATTGTGAAAATACCGTACAGAGGGGTTACAATTACATGAGCAAGGTAACGAGTACATTTCTTATCAAGCATTGTTGCCTCCTCCGGGTTTTCCCCTACCCTCCTATCTCCACGACTACACTCCCCCACCCCCAAAGTTGTAAAGTTTGTTTTTCAACATAGCATCTTGTACATCTCATTGTTGCAATGGGTCCACCTGTATCCCTATTTAAACAATTTGTTTTTTTCCCTTCCCTACCCCAAATTATACCAACATCAAATACAGTGAAAACAGAGGTTATACTATGGGAAAAGAACACACAAAGCAACCAAAAAAATCACCTTATAAATACGTCAGAAACAATAGCAAAAAAGAAGAAAACCACTTGTGTCCTTATCTTGGGGTTCATTTCGCCTAATATCATCTTATTTGATGTTTTCTGCTTGTCTCAGACACATACTAGTTATAAGAGAAACCATGGAGCCAGGCGCCAGTGGCTCACACCTGTAATCCTAACTACTGAGGAGGCTGAGATCTGAGGATCGCAGTTCAAAGCCAGCCTGGGCAGGAAAGTCAGTGAAACTCTTATCTCCAATAAACCACCAGAAAACCGAAGTGGCGCTGTGGCTCAAGTGGTAGAGCACTCATCTTGAGCTGAAGAGCTCAGGGACAGAACCCAAGCCCAGAGTTCAAGCCCCATGAGACAAAAAAAAAAATAAAGAGAGAGAGAGAAACCATGGGACTTATGTTTTTTGGGCCTGGCTTACTTTATTTAATATAATTTTTTCCAAGTCTTTCCATTTCCTAACAAATGGGGCAATGTCATTCTTTCTGACAGAGGCATAGACTTCCACTGTGTAGATATACCACATTTTCTTGATCCATTCATCTACTGAGGGGCATCTGTGTTGAGTAATCAAAACAGCTTGGTACTGGCACAAGAAGACACCTTAGGACCAATGGAATAGAATTGAAAACCCAGAAATGAACCCGCAGACCCATGGCCACCTAATCTTCGATAAGGGAGCTAAAAAAATAGAATGGAAGAAAGACAGTCTCTTCAGTAAATGGTGCTGGCAAAACTGGTTAATCACTTGTAGAGAAAACTAAAGCTAGATCCTTATATATCACCCTGCACCAGAATCAACTCCAAATGGATCAAAGACCTCGGAGTCAAAGCAGACACCTGAAAACATTACAGGACGAAATAGGAGAAAACCAAGGTCTCCTCGGCAAAATTTTCTTAATAGAGACCCAGTGTCTTTTTATCTTTTTGTTCTGCACTATTTGGGATTGAATTCAGTGACTTTCCAAGACAGGCAAGTGCTCTACCACTTGAGGTATTTCTGCAACCCTTATGTATACTCTTGAAACTTTTTCTTGCTTGAATTAGCCTGAATTCTTGGAGCAAAAAGAGCCTAACTAAAATATTAGTGTTTTCAATGACGAGTGACAGAAACTTAGTAGGTTATTGCCTATCATTGGAATCTTTACTTATCTACAAAAGGTAATGATTTTCAGATTAAAAAGCTAGAAAACTGGAATTGTAATGGAGAACTAAAAATGAAAATAAGGAGCCAAGTATGGTGGCTCATACACATAAAGTTTGAAAATAAAATTAAAGCATAAGATAGTAAAAAGTTTAGTAAGCAACAAAAAGCTGACATAAACCATGCTAGAAAAGAAATAATAGTGAACAGTTTATAATTTTTTTAATTATTATATGGTGAGAATGAAAAAAAAATGAGATGTCCTTCAATTCTCTACTAATGCACAGTAATCAAGGGACATCATAGAAACTCAATCCTGAAATATAAGTCCTTAGTTCATCTCACTCTAATATTATTTTGAAGTATATTCCAGACATCAAACATTGCATCCTTAAATAGTTCAATTAACTTTAAAATCCTTGCAACTCAATGATTCTATGTTTATATAGTTTCAAGACACAAGGAAACTGAAAAGACCATTAGCATTTAGATAGTGAGTTATGTTTATCATTTAGTCTATTCTAGAAAACTAAAAAAGCTAGTCCTTGAACAATTTCATTTTTTAGTTTCATAATGACATCTAGTGGATAAAAATTGTAAAAGAAATGGTAAAATTTTAAAACACCCATTGTCACAGAGTTGTAAAAGCAAAAGTTCAAGGTGTGAAATAGTTAATTGAATATGCTTTATTAGTATACTTTCTTCCAATTAATACACTTAATATTAATATACTTTATTAATACACCTTTTCTTTTCTTTTTTTGGTCAGTCCTGGGACTTGAACTCTGGGCTTGGGCTCTGCTCCTGCGTTCTTCAGCTCAAGGGGAGTGCTCTACCACTTGAGCCACAGTGCCACTTCTGGTTTTTCTAGTGATTTATTGGAGATAGTCTCATGGACTTTCCTGCCTGGGCTGGCTTTGAACCATGATCCTCAGATCTCAGCTTCCTAAGTAGCTAGGATTACAGGTGTGAGCCATCAGTACCCGGCATATACCTTCTTTTCAAGGAAAAAAGCAAAACAGGACTCAAAAACTTTTTAATATTTTGTAACACTTTTTTATTTATTTATTTTTGGTCGGTTGTGGGGCCTGAACTCTGGGCCCGGGCGCTGTCCCCCAGCTTTTCAGCTCAAGGCTAGCCCTCTACCACTTGAGCCATAGTGCCACTTCCGGCTTTTTCTGCTTATGTGGTGCTGAGGAATCGAACCCAGGGCCTCATGCATGCAAGGCAAGCACTCTACCACTGAGCCACCTTCCCAGTTATTTTGTAACACTTAAAGCTTTTATAACCTGACTTCCTACCTAACTCATGCTGCTATAGGGATGTAAGGTTGGCACCTGGGCTGCAGAGCAAAATCCTGTCTCCAGGAAAAATAAAAAAGATAATAAAAAGTGAAGCTGAATGGGATCCTTGTTCCATATCCTAGATTTGGAGGTTGAAAAGAAAAAAAACTAGACTGAAAATAAAATGAATGTATACTTACAGCCTGGGCTTGCTGGAATAATTCACTGTGATTCTCTCCATTATCTACTGTATCCCCAAGCATCTGGGAAGGAGGTAACACAGAACTTCCAATAGCAGCATTCAAAGTACTTGGAAAAACACTTGTCCTTTTAAGAGTTCGATCTGAAGACTGCATGGCTATAGAGCCTTCTTTTTCTACCTACTCAAAGGAAAAAATGGGATGATGAGTTTCCATTCCAATTCAGTGCTCCCTTTAAGCAGCCAAGATTTTCATTTAGAGCAGAGGATGGGGACATAAGGCTTTAGCTTCAAGAGAAACTAACATTTACCAGCAACTACTATGTGCTAATAAATTATTTAGGTTATTATAATCCTGTCAGATAGGTTTTTGGTTTTGTTTTGGTCAGTTGTGGGGCTTGAACTCCACCTGGGTGCTGTCCCTCAGCTCTTCACCTCAAGGAGAGAGCTCTACCACTTGAGCCATAACGCTACTTCCCGTTTTCTGGTAGTTAATTGGAGGTAAGAGTCTCTTGGACTTTCCTCGCCTGGGCTAGCTTTGTACTGTGATCCTCAGATCTCAGCCTCCTGAGTAGCTAGGATTACAGGTGTGAGCCACCAGCGCCTGGCAGGTATCATATTTTTTATTGACAAGATGCTAATAAATTAAGTAACCTACAATCACATAGCAAGTAGCAAAGTTAGAATTCAAACAAGTCTAAATTTAAAATTCTGAAATTGCTACTCATTTGGTGAAAGCAAAAAAACAAATCAGAACATGGGAATAAAGGTCTTTCAATATGAAAATCTCTTGTGCCCACTAGAAAACTGATTATATAAAGCATGCAATCAAAAGAAAATCAATTCTGTTACTGTTACTGCCTAATAACTTAGCTCATAAAACTTGCCATTCAGTCTACTAAGGCTCAGTTTTCTTTTGCACTTACTGCTTCATAAGACTTCTGAAGCTGTTGCTTTTTTCTAAGCCTGACTTGTTGATTTACTCGGTATTTGACTTGTCTCTGAAAATGTTTCAAAGCTTCTTGTTTTCTTCTTTGTTGTTCCTTTAGTTCTTCTTCAATTATATATGCAGAAGTCTTTAAAGATGAAAGAGAAAATGAACTTAATGGGTAGCTTTATTTATTAACGCTACTATAAACACAGACCTAAAAAATAATTCAGCCTATAATCCAAACCTCCCAGAAGAATTTAAACTATAAACTGTAAGTAAGGATATCAACTTCAGAACCAATGATCTAGACATAGCTAGTGAGTATCAAGAAGTTAGGCCAGGCCTGAAAGCAAGGGCCAAGAAGCAGAGCACAACCCAATCATAAGCTAAATAGGAACTGTGTGAACATTCAAATCCTAGTGTTTTTTTTTTCTTTTATTAAACTAAAACTAAACATGATTTCATTAGTGAGTCAATTAAATCCACTTGGGTTGCATATTGTCTAAAATTAATGTACAGTATTAATAGACCAGACTGCTCACTACTTACCAAATTCGTCTTATTATAAAATGTCTTCACACTCAGAATTATGATCTATTTTTAATTCCACACAGTAATAGCCTACACAGTCTTTACAAGACTAATATTCACACCCACAACCTCCTAAAACACTGACTTCCTCTGAGCTTTTATGCTATGGAACCTCTCATTTTACTAAAGTTACTGTACACATTACTTATTAATGCCCCACTAGATTATGAACTCTGAGGGCAATTCCACAAAGTATTCTAAATGACTTAGAACACCTTTCAATGTCAGTCCCTGGTCTGCAGTCATCTCCTCTAAGTGCTCTGAATATTAACAGTAAACAAAATAAAAGCAGTTGGCAATATTAATGTTTTGATTCTACACCTAACTCCTCATTGCCTTCCTACACTATACATACTATTAACAGAATGGAGTGTTTATATAATATTGAAAGAACACATGAATGTGATCTCAATTTGTATGCCCAAAGGAATGAGGCATGGTGTTGGCTCTGAGACTTCTCAAGCAAGGTCATGAAGCAACTTCTACCTGGAAGTCTACCTGGAGGTCTTAGAATGTTCTCTGGATGAAGCCAACAACATACAAGAATTCTGATTATTCTGCGACTACCATGTTTCAAGGAAGCACAGGCTAGTCAAACAGGCCATGTGTAATACAAAAAAACACCAGCCAGCTGGGTACTGGTGGCTCACACTTGTAATCCTAGCTACTAAGGAGGCTGAGATCTGAGGATCTCAGTTCAAAGCCAGTACAGGCAGGAACATCTGTAAGACTCATCTCCTCCAATAAACCACTAGAAAAAGGGAAGTGGAGTGGTGGCTCAAGTGGTAGAGTGCTGGCCTTCAGCAAAAAGCTCAGGGATAGCACCCAGCCCCTAAGTTCAAGACCCACGACCAATTAAAAAAAAAAAAAAAAAAAGATACCAGCCAGCCCTCAGCCATTTTAATCATCCTAGACTCAATGCCAGAACGTAAGAAAGCCATCTTGGACACTACAGCCTATATAGTGCCATATGACAAAGAACCAAGGAATTCAACCAATAGCTAAAACCCAGTCAAGCTGTCCAGACATATCATGTCCAACTATTTAAGACACCCAAGTTGAGCAAAGGCAAAGCTTCCCACTGTAGCCTCTTAAATTCCTAACACAAAGTATTATTTGCCTTATGCCCCTAGGTTCTGGAGTCATTTGTTATACAGAACAAGACAACTAGATCAAAAAATAAAATAAGGTAATAGCCATATGTGATATAAGACAGAAGTGATTCTGATGCTAGGCTTTCAACTGTCAGGGAGTGGGGCTCTATGGCATTTCTAGGAATCCTGATGGCCTCTCAGTATTTTGTGGAGAAAAATTAATAGGAGTCCCCTTTTAGGATAAATATAATTCTTAGCCAAACTTTAGAAGTAACTACTTACATCTCCTTTGACAGTGCTACAACTGTCAATAAAGGTGGATATCCAGAGTAAATAAGCTAAAGCAAGCGTTCTAGAATGATTTAAACAAGTTAAAGGAGAAATGTTTGTACATGTTCTAAATTAATGTGTGGGAACTTAAGATTCAATTTAAGATTCAGCACAGATAAAGAAAAAATATGATGATCAGGGTCAAATTGTAGGCAGTTTGATACTACTGACATTACAGAGATGTCAAAATCTGAGGACTTAAAAAGATGTGTAACTGAAATGTGAAAATATCTTTTTGTATCAAATCTTACTGATTCTTGATCCCCCTTTTTCAAGGTTTTTCCTCTCTCTTTCTTACCTAAAGAAATTTTAATAATATCCTTCCTGCCTTAATTGTTACAATTATATTCCAGCTTGTACCTTTGGATCCAATCTCTCCCTAACTTTTTTTTTTTTTTTTTTTGCTGGACGTGGAGCCTGAACTGTGGGCCTGGGCTCTGTCCCTCAGCTCTTCAGCTCAAGGTTAGCCCTCTACCACTTGAGCCACAGCGCCACTTCCAGCTTTTTCTGCTTATGTGGTGCTGAGGAATCAAACTCAGAGTGCAAGGCAAGCACCCTGCCACTGAGCCACCTTCCCAGCCCTCTCCCTAACTTTTTGAAACGTTGAAGCAAAAAATCTAAGTAAAAAGCAGTATGATCATGAAATTACCTGTAAAAATTAAAACAATAAAGTCAATCTTTTCTTCAAAATTTCCTATAGTTTCCCACCACCCTGATTTTTCATAATCCTGTCAACCACTATGCCGCTACTAAACCTTTCACATCAACTGATCAAATCTACTTTTAGAAGCCTGAAAATAATTGTATTGCAATACTATGGGGGGGGGGGGGGGCAGGACTAAGGTGAAACAAGTATCTTCCAACCATTATTAAGCATCAAAAACTATAGGTGCCAGGGCTGGGAAGTTGGCTCAGTGGTAGAGCTCTTGCCTATCATGCATGAGGCCCTGGGTTTGATTCCTCAGCCCACATAAGCAGAAAAAGCCAGAAGTGGCACTGTGGCTCAAGTGATAGAGCGCTAACCTAGAGCTGAGGGACAGTATGCAGGCCCCACGACTGACATAAAAACACAAAACCAAACCAAAAAACACTAGAGGTGTTGCGGTGGAGGGGGGGGGGGGAACGTGGGACGTGAGATGGGGGACGGGGGAGGGAGGGAGGGGGGGAGGGGAACGGGATGACGACACTCTTGCCTGTACTTAGTTTCAATTGACTGTGGTTTGAGGTTTTTTTTTGGTTTTTTTTTTTCGCAAAAACCTCATCTCAGTCAAGAAACTGAGTGTAAGCCTATGATCTCAGCCACCCAAGAGGACAACTGCTAAGAACTTGCCCCTGCAGGGGGAAAAAATGCAAGGCCCAGCCTGAAAATTAACTAAAGCAGAAAGAGAGAAAGAGAGAAAAGGAAGGAAGGAAGGAAGGAAGGAAGGAAGGAAGGAAGGAAGGAAGGAAGGAAGGAAGGAAGGAAGGGAGGAAGGGAGGAAGGGAGGAAGGGAGGGAGGGAGGGAGGGAGGGAGGGAGGGAGGGAGGGGCGGGCTGGGGATGTAGCTTGTAAGCAGGAGACACTGAGTTCAAACTCCAGCATCACGTTCAAAGCAAGCTGATCGGGAAGGCAGTGACCGGGGAGCGGGGAGCCGGGGAGCCGGGGCAGGCGGACACTCACGTGCGCCGGGATCTCCTTGCACTGCGGGGAGGCCGGCTCCACCCACGCCCCCACCGGCGCCACGACCTCGCTCCTCTCGGCCAACACGGCCAGCACGTCGTGGCTCTTCATGGGGTTTAGGGCCAGGGGCAAAGCTGTGGCACTCCGAGGCTTCTTGAGGGGGGTCACACGTCCCGGCATCGGTGGCTCCTGGTGAGGGAGAAAACAACAAAAACAAAAACCGAAACGCCTAACGCCTCCCAAACCACGGCGGTCAAAGCCCCCGCCTCCCCGGGGAGGCAGCGGCGCGGCCGGAGAGGCTGACCGGGCTCTGGAGGGAGAGGGGGCCGGGAGAGAACCGGGACCCAAGGCACGGGCGCAGGCCTGCCGGGGCGGGGGGAAACCTGGGCGTGTGGCAGCGTCCCAACATGGACGTAATCGGAGTCCACCCCTCCGGACGCTCCCAGACAGACAAAACCCCGGGCCGTGGACGCGGCAGCGGGCAAACAACGCGGGGACACCGAGGCAACCACCTCAAGGAAACCGCCACTTTGCAGCGGGACGCCCCGCCCCGCTGCGTCGCCCACTCCGTAGCCTTGTGCCCGCCCCTTCCGGGATTCGCGTCTACTTCTAGGGCTGGGAAGGTGTAAGGGGCGGGATTTGGGGGGCACCCGTGGTCCTGGCACTTCCGCTTTCTAGCCTGTTGACGGAGGAGGGAGATGATTGGGTGTACGAAAGGAAGGGGTGGGCTGCTGGGTAATGATTGAGCTGAGGTTCAGCCAACCAGCGTTGAGACCGGAGGTCCCAAATCCCTTCTTTCTACTATAATCAGGAGACTGAGGTTTGAGGCTTCACAGTTTAAAGCCAGCCCGGGCGATGATGTCCTCGCAACTCATCTCCAAATTAATCACCAAAAAGCCGAAGTGGAGCTGTGGCTGAAGTGGTAGAGCGTTAGCCTTAACCACAAAAGCTCAGGGACAGTGCCCAGGCCACGAGTACAAGCCCCAGGACCAGTACAAAACCAGTACAAAACAAAACAAAAACACTTAAAAAAAAAAAAGAGGAAAAAAAGGAAGAGGAGGAGAAGGAGAAGACGAAGAAGAAGAAGAGAAAGAAAAAAAGAAAGAAGGAAAGAAAGAAAGGCCACTACTATTCAGGATCTGAGGATCACAGCCTGAAAGTCCATGAGACTCTTATCTCCAATTAACCCCAGAAAACCACTTGAGCGCCCAGGCCCAGAGTTCAAACCCCACAACTGACAAAAACAAAAAACAAGATGCTAAGGCTGATGATCTGATGGACCGACAGGGCTAGGGTTCACTGTAGAAGAGAAAAACTTGGGATAAAGGATAGACGGGCCTGGCAAGTGCTTCCTCAAGAAACAAATTTGTATAATTAACAAATTATTTTGTATAATTAAGGTACACAATAGCGTGTCCTTCTAGTTCTTCATAAGGCTCAATATCTGTACAACGATATTTCAAACTTATTCTTCTGTTTGAACATCTCAGCCTAATGAGCAGTTACCCTTTTCACACTAAGCCCTGCTCTAATCCAGAGCTGTGATTGGATTCTGTTAGCCCTGTGGGTTACTCATTGAACCAATATACCTGTATGCTATGTTGTTGTTTTTTTCTTTCTTTCTGAGCTGGGGAATGCTCTACCATGAAAGTTATACCCTCAGCCCCTTTGGTTTTTTATTTTTATTTGTTTTGTTGTCCTGGGGCTTGAACTGGGGGCCTGAGCTCTTTTTGCTCAAGGCTAGTGCTCTACCAGTTTGAGCCAAGGACCACTTCCATTTTTCTGGTGCTTAATTAGAGATAAGAGTCTCAGGGACTTTCCTGCCAAGGCTGGCTTGGAACCTCATTCCTTAGATCTCAGCCTCCTTAGCAGCTAGGATTACAGGCATGAGCCACCAGCACCTTGGCTTTTTTTTTTTTTTTTTGAGATAGGATCTTGCTAAGTGCCTGTGCTAGCTTTGAACAATTTATCCTCCTGCCTCTGCCTCCTCTGTAGCTGGGGTTATAGACATATAATAGCACACTGAGTTCTTGTGCCTCTAGTTTTCTAGGCACTGGAGATACATAGAGAACAAAACAAATACTCCTTGCTGGGGCAATAGTGATCGAGGGAAGAGCAAAAACAAATACATAAGACAAATGAATATCTCTAATACTGATACTGTGTAATAAACACAAAGAGGACAGGGAATGTGTGTGGAGGTGAAATACTAAAATGAACGTTGCAAGACTTTATTAAGATAACTTTTTTTCTTTTTCTTTTGGTTGATCATGGGGCTTGAACTCGGGGCCTGGGCGCTGTCGCTGAGTGCTTCAGTTTAAGGCGGTGCTCTACCACTTGAGCCACTTGAGCAAAAACTTAGATAATATAATAAGTTACTGTAAATTTTTGTTGTTGGTGGTTTGTGGGGCTTGAACTCAAGGCCTGAACACTGTCCCTAAGCTTCTTTGTGATCAAAGCTAGCCCTCTACCGCTTGAGCTACAGTGCCAGTTCTGGTTTTCAAATGGTTAATTGGAGATAAGAGTCTAACGGAGACTTTTCTGCCTGGGCTGGCTTGGAACCACAGTCCTCAGATTTCAGCCTCCTGAGTAGCTAGGATTATAGGCATGAGCCACCAGCACCTGGCAGCTACTGTACCTGAAAGGGAGGGCTTTTTGTAAAAGTGTTTCACATAGAGTCAACAGCAAGTACAAATGTCCCAAGATAGGAACATTACCTGGTTAGAAAAGCTAGTAATAATCGGAACAAAACGAGAAGCAAAGAGCTGAGACAGGAGTTAAAATTTTGAAGTCCTGAGCAATCATAGAACATCATAAGCCATCATTAAAGGCTGAGCTGGGGAACCACTAGAGGATTTTACACGAAAGTATTCTATATGACTTGAATTTTAAAAAAATTATTCATGGGCTACATAGGAAGAACCAGTTAGGAAGGAAGGAAGGAAGGAAGGAAGGAAGGAAGGAAGGAAGGAAGGAAGGAAGGAAGGAAGGAAGGAAGGAAGGAAGGAAGGAAGGAAGGGAATCTCTCCATTAAGGCTTTTTTTTTTCTTTCTGATACTAGTGCTTGAATTTGGGGCCTGGGCACTGTCCCTTAGTTTTTTCCACTCAGGCTGGTGCCCTACCACTTGACTCAGAGCTTCACTTCTGGCTTTCTGTTGGATAATTGAATATGGAAGTCTCATAGATTTTTCTGCCTACGCTGACTTCAAACTGGTTTAGGAGCTGCTTATGTTTATGTTCTCCAATTCCATAGCCAGCTCCTATGTATCTATGCAACATGCTTTTCCTCCAAGGGAAGCTTTGCCATTGCATCTTTTTAGTTTTTATATTTAGTGGTATTGGAGCCTTGAACTCAGGGCCTCACACTTGCTAGGCAAGCACTATACTTAAACCATACTTCCAGCCTTTTTGCCTTAGGTTATTTCTCAGATAGATATCTTCAAAACCACCTTTCTTGCCAGCTTAGCTAGGGCCTATTTCTAAGAAACCTTGCTTATTTTGCCTGTCCCGGGGCTTGAACTCAGGGCCTGGGCGCTATCCTTGAGTCTTTTTGAGCTCAAGGCTAGTACTCTAGCCCTTGAACCACAATGCCACTTCTGGCTTTTTCTGAGTAGTTTATTCTATATAATAACCTCACAGTCTTTCTTGCCCAGGCTGGCTTCAAACCACAATTGTCAGATCTCAGCCTCTGGAGTAGCTAGGATTGCAGGTATGAACCACTTGCGCCTGGCAGAAACCTTTTTTTTTATATTGATCCACGTATTATAAAGTTGTCTTACTGGTGTCTCAGGCCTTACCATTGGAGGCTCATCATTCTCTTACTAATTAGGCTTTTACTTTGTTTATTGTTTTTGGTGGAAGTACTGAGGTTTGAACTCAGGGCCTCACTAGAGGCTAGGCAGCTATTTACTTAACCTCCCAGTCCTTTTTTCTTTAGTTTCTTTTCAGGTATGGTCTCTCATTTTCGCCAACGGCCTGTCTTGAACCACAATCTTCCTATGGCCTCCTGAGTATCTGGGATGACAGGTGTGTCCTATTATGCCCAGTTTTTTGTTGTCTGAGATGAGGGTCTCACTATTTTTATTTTATTTATTTATTTTTTTGCCAAGGTTGGCATCAAATCTATATCCTTCTGGTCTCTACTTCTCTAATAGCTGGGATTACAGGCATGAGCCACAGCACCATTCCCTGATTTTTTTTTTTTTAGTCAGTCGTGGGGCTTGAACTCTGGGCTTGGGCACTATTCCTCAGCTCTTCAGCTCAAGGCGAGCACTCTTCTGCTTGAGCGACGCCACTTCCCATTCCCTGACTTTGCTTTGCTTGTTAAGTCCCATCTCTTCCTTTCTTTATCCTCCTTTCTTTTACATCTACTCGAGACCTTTTTTTTTCTGCCCACATTTACTCCTAGGCCTGGCTAAAGGCAGCCTCTTTCAGAAGTGTGGTACTGTACTATAAACCCTAGACAAAGAAGCACAGGTTGAGTTTGGACTGTGATAACTTAAAAACAAAAAAAAAGCAAAAATTAACGTTAAGCAGTTAATCTCTCTCAGCTTCGTGTTCCTTCTTCAAAACAAAAACTAGAACACAGAGTTGTTAGATAAAATCAAATATTTTCTAAAATAATTTGAGAAGGGCAATGTGAATGTACTAAGCAAAATTGTGCTTCCAGATTTAAATATGGCTTTCTAATATATTTAAACTCTAGACAGGGATGCAGTTGACTATTGATTTAAAAAAAAAAAACAATAACAACAACAAAACTCTGGGTGCTGGGGATTGAACCCAGAACCTCAAGCAGTCTAGGCAGGGGCTACATATCACTGAGCTACAGTCCCAGCCTAACTGTTGCTTTTGAATATGGCCACTGGCCCCCCTCTACCACATACCCACCGTTCGAAGGCTGGAACACAGAGTACTCCCCACACAGCAGGCAATTATTGGATGGTGGCCAGCTGATTTGCATTTCTGTGCCTCTCTCTTAGAGAGGAGGGTAAAGGGGGGTGGGGGGGTGAGGCAAATCCTTCCTTAGGAAGTGGTTGGTGGGTGGACACGATCTGAGGAAGCAGGAAAAGGGAAACAATAGGGTCTTTCAGGATCGGGGCGTCATTGGTGGCTTCTCTGTGATTCCCCAACCTGTTTGCATTGACAAGTACAGAAGGCTTTACAAGAACACAACCCCAGAGATGCTCTTTAGAACTGTCCTTGTAGCATCTTAAATAGGTCAGCAAAAGCTGGATCTCTCCCACCCTTTAAAACCAATTAATTTCTTCTCTTTGTTCCTCTGGAGAGTTGCTGAATAGGGCACGTTTAGCAACCATGGCCACAAGCCTGAGTTCCTCTCAGTTTCTGAGGGGGTGGGAATTCTATTCAGAAATCAAATATTGACTCTCAGCATAAAAGGCTTTGATGTTTGGTTTTCTTCCCCCCCCACTTTTTTTTTTTATTTTCCAGGATGAAAATGAGATCCCCTCTTCCTTACCCCCTCAAAATGTGCTCAATATCCTACACCAGCCTTTTCCCCCAGGAT